CCCGCCCGCCCTCGCCCCGGCCCCCCCCGCCCCCCCCCCCCCGCATCCCTGAGCTCGGAGAGCCCTCGTATCCCGGCCTGCTTCTGCCTCTCCGGCGCCAGCCCCCCCCCATCCCTGAGCTCGGAGAGCCCTCGTATCCCGGCCTGCCTCTGCCTCTCCGGCGCCAGACCCCCCCCATCCCTGAGCTCGGAGAGCCCTCGTGTCCCGGCCTGCCTCTGCCTCTCCGGCGCCAGACCCCCCCCATCCCTGAGCTCGGAGAGCCCTCGTATCCCGGCCTGCCTCTGCCTCTCCGGCGCCAGACCCCCCCCATCCCTGAGCTCGGAGAGCCCTCGTGTCCCGGCCTGCCTCTGCCTCTCCGGCGCCAGACCCCCCCCATCCCTGAGCTCGGAGAGCCCTCGTATCCCGGCCTGCCTCTGCCTCTCCGGCGCCAGACCCCCCCCATCCCTGAGCTCGGAGAGCCCTCGTGTCCCGGCCTGCCTCTGCCTCTCCGGCGCCAGACCCCCCCCATCCCTGAGCTCGGAGAGCCCTCGTATCCCGGCCTGCCTCTGCCTCTCCGGCGCCAGACCCCCCCCATCCCTGAGCTCGGAGAGCCCTCGTGTCCCGGCCTGCCTCTGCCTCTCCGGCGCCAGACCCCCCCCATCCCTGAGCTCGGAGAGCCCTCGTATCCCGGCCTGCCTCTGCCTCTCCGGCGCCAGACCCCCCCCATCCCTGAGCTCGGAGAGCCCTCGTGTCCCGGCCTGCCTCTGCCTCTCCGGCGCCAGACCCCCCCCATCCCTGAGCTCGGAGAGCCCTCGTATCCCGGCCTGCCTCTGCCTCTCCGGCGCCAGACCCCCCCCATCCCTGAGCTCGGAGAGCCCTCGTGTCCCGGCCTGCCTCTGCCTCTCCGGCGCCAGACCCCCCCCATCCCTGAGCTCGGAGAGCCCTCGTATCCCGGCCTGCCTCTGCCTCTCCGGCGCCAGACCCCCCCCATCCCTGAGCTCGGAGAGCCCTCGTGTCCCGGCCTGCCTCTGCCTCTCCGGCGCCAGACCCCCCCCATCCCTGAGCTCGGAGAGCCCTCGTATCCCGGCCTGCCTCTGCCTCTCCGGCGCCAGACCCCCCCCATCCCTGAGCTCGGAGAGCCCTCGTGTCCCGGCCTGCCTCTGCCTCTCCGGCGCCAGACCCCCCCCATCCCTGAGCTCGGAGAGCCCTCGTATCCCGGCCTGCCTCTGCCTCTCCGGCGCCAGACCCCCCCCATCCCTGAGCTCGGAGAGCCCTCGTGTCCCGGCCTGCCTCTGCCTCTCCGGCGCCAGACCCCCCCCATCCCTGAGCTCGGAGAGCCCTCGTATCCCGGCCTGCCTCTGCCTCTCCGGCGCCAGACCCCCCCCATCCCTGAGCTCGGAGAGCCCTCGTGTCCCGGCCTGCCTCTGCCTCTCCGGCGCCAGACCCCCCCCATCCCTGAGCTCGGAGAGCCCTCGTATCCCGGCCTGCCTCTGCCTCTCCGGCGCCAGACCCCCCCCATCCCTGAGCTCGGAGAGCCCTCGTGTCCCGGCCTGCCTCTGCCTCTCCGGCGCCAGACCCCCCCCATCCCTGAGCTCGGAGAGCCCTCGTATCCCGGCCTGCCTCTGCCTCTCCGGCGCCAGACCCCCCCCATCCCTGAGCTCGGAGAGCCCTCGTGTCCCGGCCTGCCTCTGCCTCTCCGGCGCCAGACCCCCCCCATCCCTGAGCTCGGAGAGCCCTCGTATCCCGGCCTGCCTCTGCCTCTCCGGCGCCAGACCCCCCCCATCACCCACGTGCCAGCTGCATCTTCCGTGGGCTGTTCCACGCCGCCAATCCCCAGGCACGCGGCAGGGTCCGGGCTTCCTGCGCGGCGCGGTCGCTGCCTCGGCGGGGCTCGTACCGAGCGTGGGCCACTGAGCACTCGTGAGAATATCACTGGGCCAGCCCAAAGGTCCGTCCAGCCCTGGTCCTGTCTGCTTAACGTGGCCAATGCCCGGTGCCCCAGAGGGAGTGAACGGAACCGGGCATCGTCCAGGGATCCCTCCCCTGCTGCCCATTCCCAGCCTCTGACAAACAGAGGCCAGGGACACGCTCCCTGCCCAGCCTGGCTAATAGCCACTGATGGGTCAAACCTCCATGAATCTCTCTAGCTCTTTCTTGAGCCCTGTTACAGTCCTGGTCTTCACCACGTCCTCTGGCGAGGAGTTCCACAGGTTGACTGTGCACTGTGTGAAGAAAAATGGGCTTTGGTTTGTTTTAAACCTGCTTCCTATTCATTTCATTTGGTGACCCCTAGTTCTGATGTGATGGGAACACGTAAATTACTTTTCCATCGTCACTTTTTCCACACCTGTCATTATTTTATAGATCTCTGTCATATCTGTCTCCTCTTTTCTAAGCTGAAAAGTCCCTGTCTCTTCATATGGGACCTGTTCCAAACCCCTCTTCCGTTTTGTTGCCCTTTTCTGAACCTTTTTCAGTGCCAAGATACCTTGCAGTATTCCAGATGTGGGCGTACCGTGGGTTTATATAGAGACAATTCTCTGTCTTATTCTCTGTCCTTTTTTAGTGATTCCTAACATTCTGTTTGCTTGTTGGACGGCCTGCGCATTGCGTGGATGTTTGCAGGGATCTATCCACAGTGACCCCAAGATCACTCTCCTGAGTAGTTGTAGCTACGTTAGCCCCCATCACATTGTCTGTATAGTCGGGGTTATGTTTCCAGTGGGCATCACTTTACATTTACCAACATCCAATTTCATTTGCCATTTTGTTGCCCAATCACTCAGTTTGGTGAGATCTTTCTGAGGCACCACAGTCTGCTTTGGGCTTAACTATCCTGAGCAGTTTGGGATCAGCTGCAAATTTTGCCACCTCCCTGTTTACCCCTTTCTCCAGATCATGTATAAATAAGTTGAATGGGGGGTCCCAGTACATACAGACCCTTGGGGGACCCCACTGGTTACCCCTCTCCACTCGGAAACTGACCATTTATTCCTCCTCCCCTTTGTTTCCTGTCTAACCAGTTACCAGTCCTTGACAGGACCTTCCTTCCCTCCTATCCCATGACAACTTGATTTACGTAAGAGTCTTTGGTGAGGGACCTTGTCAGAGGCTTTCTGGAAGTCTAAGTGCACTAGAGCCTCTGGATCCCCCCTGTCCACATGTTCGTTGACCCCTTCAAAGAACTCTAGCAGATTAGTGTGACGGCGCATTGGGGGTCCCCCGTCTCTTGCACCCCCGAAATGGCACAAACAGACTGCACCAGCCGGTAGAACAGAGGTGGTTTATTGCTTCCCCAGTATGCAGCACAGCACAGATGTCATCAGGTTACAGGGCAGGCCTAGGATGCCTCAGCCCCCCTTGATATGGGGGTGGTCTCGGCTTCTAAACCCCCCAGCCTGTAGTTGAGGCTGCCTCCTCCATCCTCCCAGACAGAAACTAACTCACTCTCCTCCAGCCCTGCCCCCCAGCCAGGGCAGCATCCACCTCCCCCCAGCCAGGGCAGCATTCCACCTTCCTTTGTTCCTCTCCATGGGGGGTGTCTGGCCATACCGGTTGAGAGGTCCCTTTGCATAGTGACTCATCCTGTTTTGCTGGGTCGTGGTACCCACGGCAGCCAGTGGGGTTCCCCCAGAGCCAGCAGCATAGAAACCAGCCAGGTGCCCCCACTACGTCACACTTAGTGAGGCAGGATTTCCCTTTACAGGAACCACGCTGACTTTTCCCCAACAAATCATTCATCCACGTGTCTGACATTTTATTCTTTACTGTAGTTTCAACTAATTTGCCCGGAACTGACGTCAGACTTATCAGCCCGTAATTGCCGGGATCGCCTCTAGAGCCCTTTGTAAATATCGGCGTCACGTTAGCGTCCGCCAGTCGTTAGGTACGGAAGCCGATTTAAAGGACAGGTTACAAACCACAGTTAACAGTCCTGCAATTTCCCATCTGAGTTCTCAGAACTCCTGGGTGATGCCATGTGGCCCCGGGGACTCGTTACTGTTCAGTTCATCAGTTTGTTCCAAACCCTCCTCTAGTGACCCCTCAATCGGGGACAATTCCTCAGACTTGTCACCTACAAAGACTGGCTCCGGTGTGGGAATCTCCCCAATCTCCTCAGCCGTGAAGACGGATACAAAGAATTCACTGAGCTTCTCCGCCATGGCCCGATGGTCTTTGAGTGCCCTTTGGCATCTCGATCGGCCAGGGCTCCCATTGGTTGTTCAGCAGCTTCCTGCTTCTGATGGGCTGAACGTTTTGCTGATACTTTCTGAGGTTTTGGCTCGCTGCTCTTCAGACGCCTTTTTGGCTTTTCTTATATTTTTACACTTCACTTGGCAGAGTTTCTGCTCCTTTCTCTTTTCCTCACTAGCATCTGACTTCCGCTTTTTAAACGATGCTTTTTTATCTCTTACTGCTTCCTCTACTTAGTTCTTCTCTAGAGCCCTTTGTAAATATCGGCGTCACGTTAGCGTCCGCCAGTCGTTAGGTACGGAAGCCGATTTAAAGGACAGGTTACAAACCACAGTTAACAGTCCTGCAATTTCCCATCTGAGTTCTCAGAACTCCTGGGTGATGCCATGTGGCCCCGGGGACTCGTTACTGTTCAGTTCATCAGTTTGTTCCAAACCCTCCTCTAGTGACCCCTCAATCGGGGACAATTCCTCAGACTTGTCACCTAGACAGACCGGCTCAGGTGTGGGGATCTCCCTCACGCACACTGCACAGGGGGCTGGCTCAGTCCCAGGCCAAAGGGCCTGCAGCTTCCGTGGGTGATGCCATGTGGCCCCGGGGACTCGTTACTGTTCAGTTCATCAGTTTGTTCCAAACCCTCCTCTAGTGACCCCTCAATCGGGGACAATTCCTCAGACTTGTCACCTAGACAGACCGGCTCAGGTGTGGGGATCTCCCTCACGCACACTGCACAGGGGGCTGGCTCAGTCCCAGGCCAAAGGGCCTGCAGCTTCCG